GACCTGGAAATCAGCGTTCTGGAAGCAAGAAACTGGGGCGGTGGAATGCATGTTGCATAGGAAGCCACTGGAAATTTGCTCATCAGCCCCATCAGCATGAGCTTGTCCCTTCATGGCACTCACAGAAGTGAGTGTGTTAATGTTTTTGCTCAGGCGGTTGGTTTCTGTTGAGGATCGTGTAACAACAGCACACTCTTCTCTGTTAAACTGGGAGCCCACTGAAGGCATAGGACACGTCTATGCCAAGCTTCATCTTTTAAAGCTTGACACCCAACACAGTTCCTGGCATACCCAGAGCTCAGCAAATACTTGCTGGATTGAATATATATTTATTTAAGCACACCCAATTCACATCTTCTTTCCTCATCTATTTTTCAAAGACTACACCTGTTGGTCTGGATTGCAGCTGGGATTGGAAGGGAATTTATTCCCATTGAATGAAGAGTGTGCAGGCAGGTGTCGGCGGGGACAAGGGAAGGGGCTTACAGGAAGGACATGCAGTGGACAGTCACTGGGACACCAGCAGGTAGATCTGCTGAGCAGACGTGTAGCAGCTAAGTGTGGTTGTTCATGTGGAAACTTCCAAATGGATTTAAGATCCAAAGCCTTTAAGAAGCCAGTGTCATTGTCACTTGGAATATGTTTGTACTGATTCACACAGATACATACATGTAACCTTATCTAGAATCTTCCATTTACAGCCCTGTTTTCTCCCTTTATTTTCACCTTTCCTTTTTTTTTTTTTTTGAGACAGAGTCTCACTTTGTTGTCCAGGCTAGAGTGAGTGCCGTGGCGTCAGCCTAGCTCACAGCAACCTCAAACTCCTGGGCTTGAGTGATCCTTCTGCCTCAGCCTCCCGAGTAGCTGGGACTACAGGCATGCGCCACCATGCCCGGCTAATTTTTTATATATATATCAGTTGGCCAATTAATTTCTTTCTATTTATAGTAGAGACGGGGTCTCGCTCTTGCTCAGGCTGGTTTTGAACTCCTGACCTTGAGCAATCCGCCCGCCTGGGCCTCCCAAGAGCTAGGATTACAGGCGTGAGCCACAGCGCCCGGCCTCACCTTTCCTTTTCTGCCTGGCTTCCTAAGTCCTGAGTATCCAAGTCAGGTACATCTGCAGTCTCATGGGATGTTTATGGGATGTTAGGTGCTTGCACACTGATAGCTTTTTCTGTCTCTGGGAATTAGATGTTAAGAGACACAGAACAGGGCATAAGGCCAAGTATGCCTTCACTCTGCAGTAGATCTCAGGAATAGTGGACCGGATCTCTTTATCTTAGCTCTCCAGAGAAAAGCATGCAGTGAATTAAGATTTAATATCATGTCTTCAGCTTTTATAGAGAGCAGTTGACATACAAATGTGCTTTTGAAGAACAAATCTGAGTACTTTGCAAAAGCATACTGGAGGACATCACCATATTACCCAAAGTCCTGTCCATAATAACTCAGAGGGCAGGAAAATGTTTGTTTCTCCAAATTAACTTTCTGTTGACCACCAGTGACAAGTGTATCCCATATTATCAGAGGGGACTCAGGACTGGGTTTTGCCCCAGTGGTGCGTCCATCTGATCCTTGCGCCTGGTGGTGGTATCTATTTATTTGCTCCTTTCAATTTGATTCTGTCTTTATTATTTATTTTTCTGTTTTATATTGTTATTCATTTTCAAAATTGCTTCAAATGTTGATGGATATGTTTGCATGAATATTTTCCCTGCTTACCCACCCGTTGTCTGCCACCTACCTTCCTATCTTCCTCGCTATGTATATGGTACATGACCCCCATCAGCCCAGACCTTTCAAGTGGGTTGTTTCTCTTTTCCTTCTTTGACCACACTATTCAGGCATTTCCTGCAAATACTATGGAAGATTCAGAGAAAGGAGTGTAATGGAACTTGACTATGAGGCAGGAGACTTCGGTCTGATTCCAGCTTAGCCTCCTGCTGATGTCTAATCCCGGACACGTCACTAGCCTCTGGGTGTTTCAGTTTGGTCATCTTTAAAATGGGAATAATGATATCTACTTCACTTATAGAGGAAGTGAGGACATACAGATAGTGGCGTATTACTATAACATGGTTATAGAGAAAGAGTTTATTAGGATATTGTCTTTGGCGAGTAGCTTGAACAGACCGGTTGGCATCCTCAGGGTATTTTTAGAAGAACCTGAAGGTCTCCTTTGTCTTCTTCAAATTTTTCCCTCCAATCATTTTTTTTGCAGTGGTGTTATCATAATTGACTGCAACCTCCAATTCCTGAGCTCAAGCGACGCTCCTGCCCAGCTTCCCGAGTAGCTGGAATTACAGGCATGTGCCATCATGCCTGGCTAATTTTTCTATTTTTTAGTAGAAAAGGGGTCTCACTCTTGCTCAGGCTGGCCTTGAACTTCTTATCTCAAGCAATTCTCCCACCTCAGTCTCCCAGAGTGCTAGGATTACAGGCCTGAGCCACCACACCCTACCTCCTCCAACCATTTTAACATTTTCACCTTTAGATGTTTTTTTAAGGATCCTGCAGAAAACTTGTATTTCATAAGCTATTGACCCAATGAAGTCAGATTTCTATCTACCCATTTCACATTTTTGTTGCAACTTTCAAAGAAAATGAATTACTTCTAAAATTAAGTTTAGACTGCCACTAGCTTAGATTCAATTTGTGAGTTAGAATGCCATTTTTAACTATGATGTCATAGGTAAATTTTTCAGAAGAGTATTTCTTTTTTGATGATACCACATAAGTCTCTAGTTCATGTTAATATGGATTCAATCTCCCATAGATGCTTCAGGACATGTGGCCACAGTAGTTGGAGAGCTGAGATCTGAGGTAGGAGGATGCAGGGGACATGGGTGGCAGTGGGGAGTGGGCTAGGAGAGACGATGAGGGAGAGAAGTTTCTGGAGCACTTAGTGTTCGTATCAGCCCACGGAGGCACCACGGGGGAACCTGCTCCACAGCATGGGGGCAGCTGTCCAGAACTTGAACTTCCAGGGTGGACACTGGCTGAACCTGGCCTTGTGGGACGTGGGCCTCAAACCTATTTATGAACCACACTCTTTCCGTATGGCTTGGAGGAGACTCAGGAGTGACTTATGAGTTCCATGAAGCTCTGATGTAGCCAGTGGAAGTGCCCAAGCAGGGAGGCAGTCCCTCTGTGGCTTCCTCAAAATTCCACTAACCACCCGCCCCCGCCTCCCACCACGGGCTCTTTGGCTCTGAGACAAAGAGGGAACCTGTTACTGTTGAGATTTTAGTGATAAGGAAAACGAGGAGCCCGAAAGGTTTCCTGAGTTGCTAGTTACTGGCGGAGCCGGAGCTGGGGCCAGCGCTGGGGGGAGAGTCCTCCCGGCCTCACGAGGGCTGCGAGCGCTGTGCGTGCGCCAGCCACACTCTTCCAGGCTGCCCTCAGGGTTGTTTCGCAGCTGATGACCTTGAGAAATGAGGTGACGCCTGCCCCTCATCCACAAAGAGCAGACTGGACTCCCCAAACTCAGTGTCCCTCAGCCGGGGCACAAACCCCTTCATGCGCGGAATCCATCTGCACCCATAGGACCGCTTCTGGGGGACTGAGGGCAAGAGGAACCGCGGCGGACGCGCCGATGCTCATCCTGCTTGCGGCAGCGTCGCGAGCACTGCAGCCCTTTGTCTCTGAAGCCCCACGCCTCCTGCCAGCACCCCCGGAACAGGCTCGCTGCTTAGCCTGCCGGTCAGGTAACTTAAAATCTCAGACCTGACACCAGCTTCCCGAGTCGTGGCTGGAGATTTCCGCCACAGCACGCAGCTTAAATAGCCCAGGACAAGAGGAAGAAACACCGGCCTCGAAGGTCATCCGGTGCCATGACTAGATCTGCTCCAGGTTCCTCCGTTTCATTTCCGGGCCTGGGCTGCGGAGGTCGGGCCTCCAGCGGAGGCGGCTGCAATGAGGCACCAGCTGGCGGCACCAGGGACCCGGGAAGCCAGCCCAGGCCAGCGCAGGGCGGCCAGCGGCAGAGACAGGGAAGAAGCAAAGGGGAAGAGAAAGGGTGGAGAGGGGAAGGGGAACACCTTGCAGACATTTAACGCCCCTTCACCATCTTACGTACCTGTCGTGTCATGACAGAAAGGGATTCAGATGGGAAGTTGTTCTGCTGAGGCATCTGCATCCTCCAGGGTTTCAGGATCTGGGAGGTGGATCCGGATGATGCAGGGGGAGGGGAAGCAGGACCGAGGGATGGGGAGAAAGGCTAACCGAGGGAGGAGAGGGAGCAGGGCCAGGCAGTCCCCACCTTGCCCTTGAGATATTCCAGGTGGCTGTAGGCCTGCTGCCCAGTTCCTGCAGGAATCCTCCAGGATCCTCCACAGTGAGGAGACACCTGACCATGAGCCCGGATTCCCGGCTCTTCCAGCCGAACAAGTCTCCTCACACATCTGGCCACAGAGAGGGAGGCGACTCTGGCCAAGGCACAGAACCCTCCGGGAAATCTGAAAGGATGGCAGGTGCCTCTTAGAATAACTTTCCCTTCATCAGTGAAAGTAGATAGGCCTCTGTCCAAAACCTTTAATTATTCCTCAGATATTTGGCTAAAATCGAGTAGTTTTCCTTCAGGGACAGTTAGCACTCTTAAGTCACTAGCAAATGAGAGGTTTGTAAAAAGTTTGCCAAAGCTCTCTGGGTGTGTCTGCACTGTGGCTAACGGCCAGCAAATAATTTTCTTCATTGTTAGAGATTCTGCTTAATTTTAATTAAAAAAATTATACCACTTATATATGAGGTATCTAAAGTAGTCAAATGCACAGAAAGAGAAAGTAGAATGGAGGCTTCTGGGGGCCGAGGGAGGAGGAATGGGGGCTGTTGTTTAATGGGTGTAGATCAGGCGTCCTCAAACTACAGCCCTCGGGCCACAGGGCGTTGTTTTTTGCCCGTTTGTTTTTTACTTCAAAATAAGATATGTGCAGTGTGCATAGGAATTTGTTCATAGTTTTTTTTAAACTATAGTCTGGCCCTCCAACGGTCTGAGGGACAGTGAACTGGCCCCCTGTTTAAAAAGTTTGAGGAGCCCTGGTGTGGAGTCTCAGTCTTCCAGATGGGAAGGCTGTGGAGGCTGCTGCGGGGCAGCGCGGACAGACTTGGCATCACTGAACCGAACACGCAAACACGGTTAAGATGGCAAATCTTATGTTAAGTGTTTTTTAACCACAATTAAAAAAATTGTAGAGGACATCCACACAGAGAGTGAACACAGTATTGATTTTTGTAGTTTTAACCTCCCTAGTTGATTAAAATTAAAATTAAAATGTTCACACTATGGGAAAAGGCAAACATTAGAAAGGAAAGGACTTTGTTTTTATTGAATTTTAGGCAACTCTGTACATTACTGGTAAGTAGCAGTTAGGTGACCATCTACTCAATCTATGGAGATACATATATATGTATAAAATATGAGCTCGCACATGTATGGAATTTGAATATACTTCACATTTCACAAAAGTCATTGCATGGCTTCTTGGTGCAAAAGAAAACAATCTCAAAGTTATTAATTTTCTAGCCATTTTAAAAGATCACTAGTAAAGGAAGACATTCTTGGGTATGAATCTAAAAGAATGAAAGCAGCGTCCTAAAGAGATAGCTGTACGCTCAGTGTTCACAGCAGGATCATTCGCAGTGGCCAGAGGCGGACGCAGCACTAGTGCTCGCCGACAGACGGGTAAATGAAACGTGCTGTGTCCACACACACAGGGAATAATATTCAGCAAAGGAAGGGCATTCTGACACCTGCCAGGACACAGATAAACCTTGAAGACACTGTGCTAAGTGAAATAAGCCAGACACAAAAGGACAAATGCTGTGTGATCCCACCTCTGCGAGACACAGAAACAGCAAGTAGAGGTGTGGCTGCCGGGGCTGCTGGGGTCGGGTGGGTGGGGGTTATTGTGTAAAGGGCACAGAGTTTCGGTCTGGGCAGCGAAAAGAGTTCTGGAGACGGAGGGTGGGGACGGTGGCACGACCATGGGAATGCACTTTATGCCACTGAACTGTACATGTATGAATGGTTAACTTTTCTGTTATGCGCATTTTACCACAGTTAAAAATAACAATAAAAATACTGTTAAAAAGATGACTATAACTTTGCTGTGGGGGTCGCTGTGGCGCTGCACGTCCAAACCATCGGGGTCTGAATATGCCTGAAATGCGCAATCCCGTCTTGCTCCCACTCGCTGCCTTCTGCCCGAGGTCCTCTTGTCTGAGGGTCCGCAGGCGCCGGAAACACGCAGGAGCTGCCCTGCCGTTTGGTGCCCTTCCCACATCCGGGCATTTGCGGTTTCCCCGAGCGCCTCTGTGTGTGTGAGGAAGATTTTCCAACATCAAAGGTGCTTTTGTCTTTTCATCATTGAAGAAAGCCTTTGATTCAGCCATAATCACCTCTGAGTGAGGAAAGTTCTCCAAATGTATCTTTTGTAAAAACTGGCCATTCCCAAGCAGGACGCCACATATTGATTCAAGATGTCCGTTTGATGTTGCGCCCGCAGCCCCGCCAGTGCGGACGTGGGCACGGGGCGCTGGCCTTGGCCCTCCCGGTGAGTGTCACCCGCCCGCAGCCGGCGGACAGATGCTGGTGTGCCGGGAAAGCCGTCCCACGGGCACGCGAGCTCCCTCCCGCGGCCGAGGTCCACGCGCCGCTCCGTGCACCGTCCTGCCCAGGAAGGGCAGTGTGGCCGTTAAGACCGGCAAAGCTGTGATGGCTGGAGACGCACTTTACTCCGTAATTCAAGAAAAGCCGTGTTTCCCTGATCAGCATTAGCCTGTAGGCCTTTAGATGAATTAAAGGCAGGATATGATGAGATTAATCCTTGTTAGAAAGCAATGAGAAGTGGATTCGTTAATCCAGAGAAGAGGTGGCGCTCCACACAGCGCGACACCAGGCTCCTGCTGCCTTGAGTCCCTGGCCGGCTAAAACCTCAGCTGCTGCATTAACTCTTGAAAGTAGAGACGTTGCTGAGTTAAGGTGCTCTGTCTCTGTATTTAAATGTCTCTATGTGTGGCTGTTGGGATTCACCTCAATTTTTGACCTTTAGCCTGTGCTGACAGCATCACCATCATTTGAATGTTTGGAAGCTCTGTGGGGACTCAGGTTTTTCTTCCTCCTGCTGAAAGAGCTCGGCCGGCACCATCCTAACTAACTCAGAGGCCTGGGCGCATCGTGAGTGAGACCCGACCCGGGAGAGCAGAGCAGCCACGGCCTTGGAGGATCTGAGTGCTGAGCCCGAGGCGCTGGGTGAGGCCCTGCGTGGTTTTCTAGTCTATTCTGCCTCGGGCACTCACAGGGTCCCTGCTGGCACAGTCCTCCTCTCACTGACAGCACGGTGGCTCCTAGGATGCAGACTGGCTCTGGGATGGGCAGTCGGGGAGCCGGGATCCTCAGGCGGCTGCCACCGTTAAGACGGGGAACCCCAACTCCTTCTCCCTGGCTCCTCCGTATTCCCTGGGTTTGATGTGAACGGTCTGCCACCTTGTCAGCGAGGGCCAAGTCGGTCCTAGATTGTCTCCAGGGGCTCGGGACCCTCCCTGAAGGGCAGTACTCTGGCCTCTCCCTTGCTGGAGCAGAACATCCCCGCCCCATCCAACACTGACAGGCACCGGGCTCGGTACAGAGGAGAGAGCAGCAGTGCAGCCGGAACAGCTGATGACCCTTGTTTCCACTTCACTCAACACCTGGATGTCATGTGCCCCAGAATTAGCTTTTTCTTTTTTTTTTTTGATTCAGAGTCTCACTTTGTTGCCCAGGCTAGAGTGAGTGCCGTGGCGTCAGCCTAGCTCACAGCAACCTCAAACTCCTGGGCTCGAGCGATCCTTCTGTCTCAGCCTCCCAAGTAGCTGGGACTACAAGCATGTGCCACCATGCCCGGCTAATTTTTTCTATATATATTAGTTGGCCAATTAGTTTCTTTCTATTTATAGTAGAGATGAGGTCTCGCTCTTCCTCAGGCTGGTTTCGAACTCCCGACCTCGAGCAATCCGCCTGCCTCGGCCTCCCAGAGAGCTAGGATTACAGGCGTGAGCCACCGCGCCCGGCCCAGAATTAGCTTTCTCACCTTATACTTTTAGGCTCAAAAACTGTGTATTTTTGAATTACGTTTTCCCGACCACTCTCAGAGGTGTCCTTTGCAGTGGTGTTTTTCTCAGGTTGTTTTCTTGGTATATTCTCTAGGTTCTGCTGTCCCAACTCTCTTCTCTAAAACACGTGGTTGTTAGTAGGAAAGTGCTGAGAGACCATCCACACGGGAGGCGTGTGATGTGCTGCGACATCCCTCAGCTATCGCTCCTGGGCTCAGTCCACGACAGCCAGTAGCTTCTCCTCCTTTCTCTTCCTTTGACGCGGGAATCACCAGCTGCGCATTCCCCTTGGACACGGAAATCTGCACAGGGCTTTTCCTTCCTAAGTGGTCCTTTTGATCCTGCCTCGAACCTCGTCACCCGCAGTGTGACTTGGATCTCACCTTCCTCGCCAGCAACTCTTGGACTCGTCTCTGTCCACTCCGGGCCTTTCTTCCCACACAGCAGTCGTCGTGGAGTCTGCTCGTTACCAGTGCAGACACTTGGCAGAAATTTATCTCAGACTCTTTCCTTTCTTTATGGAAGTTCTTATCCATTTTCTAATCATGTCCTGACTGCAAATGTAATTTTTCTTTTATGGCCCTCTCCAAACTTCAAACAGTTTAGACAGAACTCAGCCAGATGACCCATGACTCTGGAATGGGAGAGGATTGGATACTCAACTCCCCTGGGCTTACACTCGGTCCCAAATCCTTGTGGACATTCACATGGGACACTCTGACCTTAGACCTCGTTGTTTCTCTGCCTATCCCTCCTTTTGACATGCTTGCCACTGAGACCTAATTAAGCCTCACAACTAAGAACTGTGTCTTCCACTGGAGGGGTGACAGGTGACTTGGGTGAGCAGGAGTAGGAGGAGAAGTAAAGAAGGACAATTAGCTGGTTTATACCTGCAGATTTCCTCCATAGATTTATGGGGGACCTCACTCACACGAGACTAGTGGTACCTGGGTAGGACATTCCTCAACACCCATGAACAGCCCATGGGCTGAGGCCACACATCTGAAGTTGTTTTAATGGGGATGAGGCTTTTCCCTCTACTGGCCAAAAATGCTGGGGAGAGCAGGTCCGCACTGAACACACCTGTGGAAATTCTGCAGGGTGTGTCGGTCTGCTCAGAAGGGAGGAGACCACTCTAGGTTTGGGTCACAGAGGGGAAAAGGAGGCACAGGTGAGAGGCTAGGTGTTGCTGATTCCACACCTGTCTCAGTTCTGGACAACCTGGGCATAGGGACGCCACCTGTACCATAGCACTTTGGGGAGGTTGCCTGTGTCAGGAAAGAGGCGAGGCCGCGGCAGGTCCTAGCACAGGGGCTGTGGTTCATCAGGAGTCTTAAGTTTGGGGAATGTTCTAAGCAGCTTTCCCTCAGCTGAAGTGGGAAGAGAAAAGTGACTGAGTGTGATTTTATGATACCGACAAGTAGAAATGATCTGTATCTTTGGCATTTTAAAGTTAGCATTTTAAGAATTGTTGCAAGCGATGTGATAGCTGTGAATGGGCTGTATTTTTCACAATGAGGTGAGGACTTGCTTAAGTTTGTCCAATCTGTCCCACGATGTGTGAAATCCCCTCTGCTTAGTGTTTGTATGTGAAAGGAGCGTCCACTGTTGGGCCCAGAGTCCTCACCAGAAGTCCAAGTTCCAGAGCCAATGCCCGGGTTTTCATCAGGCCCACCACTTCCCAGTTGAGTGGCCTCGTGCAAGTTACTAACTCTCTCTCTGCCTTAAACAGGATCAGCACAAAATGAAAACGTGTGGTCCCTTTCCAAAGGTTATTAAGAGGGCGTTCCACAGAGCGTGGGGCACTGCCACTGACCAGGCTGTGTGCCATGGACCGGCCCTGGTCTTAATGTCCTCATGTAAATGTGGACACTAATAACTACTCCCTGTGGATGGTTACGCAGTGTGGATTGTGTTGTGTGGATTCAATGCATATTATCAACAGAGAATTTAGAGCGGGCATTGTTGTCACTCAGAGGTGTAGTGCTTGGCCCTCCTGGCCCACAGATTTGCAGGGTTTCAGGTAAGTCCCTTGCAGCCTTCGTGTCTCCATTTGTGCAGTGGAGATTGCACTGGTGCCCCACGACCCTCGAGGAGAACAAGGGCAGGGTGACAAACTCATCCCAGCATGCTGGGTCTCTCTTTTTTTAGCACTGAAACCCTGAGTCCCAGAGACTCCCTCTGTCCCGAGGAAACTGGGATGGCTGCTCACTGCATTTACTGAGCTTTTGTCAGGTTTTCCCTAGGCAACCTGTGTCTCTCATTTCAGTTAATCTCTGCCACAATTCCTGTGTGAGATGGATAATTTCACCTTTATTCTAAAGATGCAAAATCTGGGTGTTGCGAAGGGATTGGTGGTAACATTGGGGTTGAAATTGAGGCAGATTGTTTTGATTTCCAAGGACTGGGCTTGACTCTTCCCCAGGGGTCCTCAGGCATTAGCCTCGTTGGAATCACCGGAGAGCCCGGCCCGAGGTTCTGATGCAGAGTTTGGGGAGGGGCCCAGAACATGCTTTTCTGCACAGTGCTCGCTGCTCTGGGCCGGTGCCCTCAGGCTTGTGCACACTTGGAAAGCCCAGGAACATCCCAGGGCTCTATCCCAGCAGCTCTGATGTAATCAGCCTTGAGCATGGTGTGGGCGGCAGGTTCTGGACATTGTCCAGGTGTCCCATGTGTGGCTGGGCTGGGGTCTCCTGCTCTGTACCGCACTGTGTCCCACCATAAGAAGATAAAGTGAGGCAGCGGGTGTCATGCGGCTCTGGAAAGAAGTGCAGGTGTTCCCACTCCTACACAGAATGCCATAGGCTCAGATCCCAAATCAGATAGTCAATGCATGCCTGAGCCCTTACAAAAGATTAAGACAAAATTCAAGCCCAAAGAAAATGCATAACAGATATCTGGGAGATGTTGGGGCCTTAATAGTGCTTTTCATCTCTGACTTTGAGAAAACATTGGCTGGGATCAGATAAGCGGCAACTCCCGAGGCCAGCTGGCGCTTGTCCTCAGGTGCCCGCGTGGGTGGGGGATGCGGGGCCTGCGGGCCTCACCTACACAGGCGTCCCCCAGCACAGACTGCCGAAGCCACTTCCTTTCCTTCTGCTCGGAAAATGCTTGTTCTGCGCCAGCCCCCAGCTGGCGTTGCTGGGAGCAGCTGTGGAAGGGGCTTCCGGAGTCCTCATCCTGCTCAGGCAGGACGCCTGGCACTTGGAGATACAAAAACCCCAAACACGACAAAACAAGTCACCCCTCCCAACCAGACACCCAGTTAAATTTGAATTTCAGATATACAATGAACAAATTTTAGGATAAGTATACCCCTTGCAACATATGAGATGTACTTATCCTAAGAAATTATTCGCTGGTGATCTGCAGTCCCACCTGGGGGGTCTTGTGTTTTCCCTGTAACCCTATCCCGGGAGGGCTTTGTGTTCTCCACGGGTGCGTGCCACACGTCCCCAGGGCCGGGTTCACATGCTCCCTCTGAGCAGGTGGCAGAGGTGTCGTCCCCTCCGTCTGCTCATGGACAAGAGGCGGTAGCAGGGACGGCTCGGCCTCTGCTTTGCAGTGTGGTCTTTTCTCATCACCCGTGGAGCTGGTCCCGTGCTGCGCGCAGGGCTGGGCGGTGACTGGCCTCGCGTCCGGCCGGGGGTTACCTGCCTCCCAAAGGGAAGGAAGGGGCTGGAATCAGCTCCACGCATCACGGCGCTGAGGGGATGAGGGGACCGGGGAAGTGGCTCGGCGCCCCTGAGCGGACGCCCCGGGCCGGGCCGGGCCGCTGGCCGCGAGGGGGCAGCAGACGCCGCCGCGGAGGAGGCGGCGCGAGCGCGCGGCGGCAGGCGCGAGTTCTGAGGGCCCGGCCGCGGGAGGTCCGTGGGGCGCGGAGTCTTGGGTCCTTGGGGGTTCTCTGCCCTGGCCGGTGCCCCGCGGAGCAAGCAGCGCGGCGGGGCTCTCCCGGGGACCGGACGTGGGGCGAACGCAGGGGCAGGGCCGGCGAGGCGCGGCGGCGCGGGTCCGGGTGAGCCGGGAGCGGGCCATGCCAGGGCGGGGCAGAGCTACTCGTAAAGCTCAAGCAGAAGAGAAACGAACCGGTTTCCTGCCAGTCCGGCTCCGATTCTGCGCTCGCTGCCTCTTTTACGCACCGCGTCATCCGCAGACACGCGGCCGTGTTCCGTGTTCCGTTCCGGGGGACTGCGGCCCGCGCGGCCTTGCGCGGCGAGGCGGCGCTCTGCGGTGTGCCCGCGCCGCGGCGAAGCTAGTGCCCACGCGGCGGCCAGCCCGGGCGTTTGGGCCGGCATGGACTTGCGGGTGCGATCAGCGCCCGAGCCCCGGCCCGACGCGCTGCAGCCTCCCCACGCGCGGGGAGCAGAACAGCCCGAGCCTCGGAACCGTGCTGGAGGGGCGCACACGCGTGCACAGAGCAGGCGTGCGCGTGCGCGAGCCCCAGCTCCTCGGGTTTCCTGTGCCGGCGTCCTGCGGATGGACCGGGTTCTCAGACTGCCCTGGAGGCCTCGGCCCGCTCCGCCGCGCGTGAGCAGGTCTCCAGTGAGACCGGGGGTCACCTCACCCTCCGCCCTCTACGGCCCGGTGCAGACTCACGCCCCGCTCAAACGCCCAGGGCTGACGCAGACAGGTTAGTCTGCGAGCCGGCATCGCGAGGGCTCCGAGATCCCATATGGACCAGAACAGAACCAGGAACTTGCATTTGCGCCACGGGTGATAAATTACAGTTTCTCTCCATTTTATCAATTAATCCCAGAACCAGAGCGACACAGGTGTGTGGCCCTCGCACAGCCTCGAGTGCGTGGCAGACAGGTAGGGAATGGGTTAGGGAGGCAGCAAGAGCAACTCTGGCCGCCTCATTTCACAACTGATTGGAGATTTCTATCCCTGGCTGCTGGTGTCAAGAGATGGGTAAATTGGCAGGTCGTGTTAGCAGGTGTAAAGCAGTTTGTCATGTTATTGGTTTGGCTCTTATTTAAAGATAAAACATAAAAAGTAATTAAAAATTAGCCCTTGGGTGTGTCTGTGTTCTGTTGACACACGTGAACAGTTTCATTAAAAGATCAGTTTTCTTTTCTTGACTACACATCAGCTGGTCAGATCCTGAACTTCTATAATTTAAGGAAATAATGTACTTTGTAGAAAAATTAGAAAACATATAAACAAATAAGGAATAAAAGGCAAGCTTTGTATAGTAGTATAGTCCCATTTCTCCATGATGGACTTGCTAGGCCTCTTCTAAGACTGTTTTCTGTGCAAGCATTTTATTTTTTATAAAACTGTAGTAATTCTGCAGACTGTTTCTTAATCAAATTTTTTTGTTTTTTGATATGTGATAAGCATTTTGCCTATCATGAAATACTCTTTTAAATGCAATTTTAAATGGTTGTATGCTATTCCACTCTGAACATGTGTTTGACACCCCAACCACTGGATCTTTTATATCTTGAATGTCTAGAATGGAAAATATTAATAATTAGCCAGTATAGGAAGGTGCATGATCTTTTGTTCTGAGGAAATTATTAACCCAGATTTCTGTGGGCCCCTAGATGTTCGCAGGATTCTGCAGGGAGCTCCTCCTTCGGGAGACCCAGGAAGCAGCTTCCTCTGTCTCCATGGCATTTAGATTGGTGGAACATGTTCACTGGAGTGTGACCTACAAGCTTGAGGTATTAATTCATGCTCCCTGACTCAGATTAATATCTAATGTGAGGTTAGGAGGGGGAAAGATGTGCTCGCTAGCCACCAAGCCGCCCTCCCCAGCGGGAGGATGTGGAAGCTGCAGGAAGAGATAATGTTACAGCCTCAGCCGCTGGGCGGTTTGCAGCGCATGCCTTTGATAATCAGCATCAGTATCTCTTTCATGGCACTGAACACA